TCATGGATACAGTCCGCTCATGCACTTTACACAGACGGATGGGTAACTACAAAATAGTGAGGCATAGTAATGACATATACCAAAAAGGGGGTTCTGTTGATACCCCATAACCATTTCACTTTAGGAAAAAGCTTATGTTATTACAATACAAACGGGGCACACATTTTCGACAATAGATTAGCTTGGATCTGTCCTAGCAACTCTAACCAAGTGGCGATCTCAAAAAATGTAAGTACAAAAACAATATCGTCGACTGTTTTCCTCGTTTCGGTCCAAATGAGACGAGTCGTCAAGAGTGAAAGCTACAAAAGACGCGATTTTGAAAAATCAATGAAAAAGACCTTTTGATAAAACATTCAGCTGGAAGGTCGTTCCGGACTTTCTACTTATTAATTAAGTCATTTATATTTTATAGTAACGCTCCGGTAATTTTTTTAAAGGTCAAAGGTGATATTGCAAATACTTAAGTAATCTGTTATAGCCAAACGCTAAGATATCGTCAATACAGAAAATATAGGCAGATGGATAGGTTACCTTACATATGGAAATTCGGTGGGATAATAAGATACTTATGAAATTGGCGTTTTATATTGAACAAAAATAAAGATAAAGAAAATAGATAATTTTCAGACGTTTAAAATAAAAAACACTTGAGCAAAACGTCAATTTCCTTATATAAACGGCTTCGATTTCCATTTAAGAACATTTGAAATAAATATGAAGGACATATTCGTAAAGGTTCAATACATTATATAGACCTAAAAATAACTCACCAACACTAAAATGTACAAATTTTTACTTGAAGTACCTAATAACGTTATTTTCTACAGCAATAATACTCAACACGAAACCCATTAATCTTCACACCATAAACCTACCTGCGGAACACATATAAAAATAATAACTGTTATTTCGTGCTAGAAAAGTCGTACGTAGCATAGAAAGTTTCCTATTACCGCAACTCCGTCACAGAAAGAAAATGCGTAGGTGTTATAATTTTAAAACAACTTTATTTTAATTATAGCATCATGGTACTATAACTGGCTGTTATCTTTCATCTCGAATCACAAAGACGAAGCGGCGAACAGAGTGGTAATTATCACCTTTCATAAACGAGAACCTGCAGAATGAAAGATTGTGGCTGATTTGTTATTTCATGGAGAGTCAGAGGCGGAGAAACGGAAGATGAATTTGTGTTTCCGCGTTTCAAATGGCAGGGGTTTCTATTTTTTCTGTATAGGAAATCATACATACTCGTTACTTGGTGTTAAAATCGTTGATAGTTACATTAAGAACTAACTACTTTATATTCTCATTAAATATATCTTATATATAAAATTCTCGTTTCGCAATATTAGTTACCATACTCCTTCGAAACGGCTTGACAGATTTTCATGAAACTTTATATGCATATTCACTAGGTCTGAGAATCGGCTACTATCTATTTTCATAGCCCTAAGTGATAAGGGTTGTCCACACCTAACATTTTTTTAGATTTTGGTTTATTTTTTTATAATGTGGCATTAAAAATAATATCAAACATACAGCTCTAAATTTTCACCCTTCTACCACCTATATTTTTATAGCGATACGAAGTTCGCTGGGTCAGCTAGTATTTATATATATATTATTGAAAACAAATAGAAAATATTTTTTCCAGATAGATTTGCGTGAAAACTTATGAATAGTTATATTTTTATTTTATTAAGGATTCAACTGCTAGATGTTTAAATACAAAGAACATTTTACTAGAAACAAACGCGAACCAGGTAGCTTTCTTTAGATTTAAACATCTCAGTGAAATGCTTAAAAAATATATAACTACAATTGCTATTTCTTCTTTCAAATGTTTAATACTTGTAAAGGTATTCCTATGGAATTGTGGGTTGCCTACAATGGGAACAGATGGCGCTGCCTTGCAGCCTAAGAAATACTAAAAAGAATTCGACATTGCCATTAGGGCTGCGGCCCGGATAGCGGAGGGTGCGGGTTCGCGTCCCGTCTGCTGCCTGGTCCGAGTGTTTTTATTTTAATTTTCTTTACATTATGAAATTTTATAAAGGTTTAGTTTTCGAATTAGAAATAACAGTATTTTAAACTTCGTTTTTGTCATCTGATTGAAAATATTCTATACCAATGCATTTTTAAATAATTTAATGGACTTTGTTATCCAAAGATTGTAATCATAAACAATATAGTGCTCAATTTTCTCACCTACCATAAATCTTATAATTACAAAGATAATTTCATTAAAAACAGCTAAAAGTAGATACTAAGTATAAACTGCAACAAATCCTACCAATATTATAAATGTGAAAGTTTGTATGTTTGTTACTAAATCACGCAAAAACTAGTTACTAAACGGATTTGGATAAAATTTGGTACGAATAAAGTTCACGACCTGAATTGAGACATAGGAAACTTTTTATTGCGGAAAAATGTTAGGCTGCTGTAGGATTCCCTATAAAACTAAGGTTAACACGGACAGAGTGGCGGGGCCGGCCTCGACTTTATCCGTGTTAGGTTACAGAAAGATTTAAACAAAAACTGAAGTTAACATGGACGAAGTCGCGGGCAGTCACAAGTGAGTATAAAAGGAAAAAACATTTATATTTAATATCATATACATTTTTCATTGCATGTTCATGTATATCTAATTTCTTTCCTATTGTTATACATAACTAAGTAAGTAACTTGCGTTATCTTCGAATTACGTGATTTACATCCGATGCAATTTCATTAGTGTAACGACTATAGCTTGGCTAATCTTTGATCGCGCTTATACAATGGAACCACAAAATAGAGAGTACAGAGGGTAATCTCTACATCACTTTGCATACTTACGCTAGAACGCAAAAAAAAGGACGGAAATCTAAACCAATAAAAGCTAAAATATTTAATTTTAACCTTATTGTACCTTATTACACATTAAAAAAAAAAGACAATTCACCTTTTAATGTTAAATTAAACAACCATCACGCAACAGATATAATGACTTTTAATTATTGTTACATTTTTGCACAAAAAATTCACAGTCCCCTTCCTCAAGCGGATGGAACTCGCGCTCGGAGTGGTCCCAACTGGTCCGAGATAATTATCGTGTCCATGAACGGTGTGTATGAGTGTGTTGCTCGAGCGCACTTTGTATGTAGATTACCTTCTGCACTATCTATTTTATGATGCAACGGTGCGCCTTCGAAATATCGAACAGGCGAGAAGCATGTTTAACCACCTTATCTAATCAAACCCAGATATTTCAGATCTGAAAAGATAATACCTACATTTATCTGAAGTTTTTGCACAATAGAATAACAAGTACCTTTATACGTACCTACTCGTTTATATGGAAATATTCCGCTGCTTTAGGGTTATTTATTAAAATTCCTAAGCATGTATAAATATCAAAAGAAACATTAAATGCTTTAGCGGTGTTTATGATGTACATACACAAGTCAATTATTAAGGGTTACCTAAGTTGCACAATTTTTTAATAAATAATAAACCACACTAAGCAATTTAAAACTATTTCATTTCAAAGTTAGTTTAAAATCTTATTTAATCTTAAAGCTGTCACCTTATTTATTAATAAAACCATTGGGTACTTTGCAATTTCATCTACAAATCCTACTAGTAATTCAATGATTTCTAGTAGGTACTATTGACAAACCGGAATTATTTACCTTTACTTAAAATAACAGCGTTTCTATGTTTCAATTCATAAAGATAATCTACACACACCTCCTTCAGTATTGGTTGGATCCAAGTTGCCTATTTCTTAGCATTGAACACAACCCAATCCTTGGAAGATACCTTTCTTATGCCACTTAAATATCATTGAAAAGAGGGCGCTGCCCAAGGGCGGATCCAGGGGGGTGGGGTCATGGGGGTCATGACCCCCCCCTGGGCTGGGTACAGATGGACCAAACCCAGGGGGATTTTATTTAAGTACTTTCAATATTTAATATACCACGACTATATGACCCCCCCCCCTGGCGCCAAAGCTGGCTATATGACCCCCCCCTGGCGCCAAAGCTGGATCCGCCCTTGGCGCTGCCGGTGAAATAAATTAAATCTGTGTTATGAGATACGTGAAATCTCCTCACTTGTAAGGAACGTTATAATTTGCAATAACTCGGAAGGAGTAATAGAAAATATTAAAGGTTTATTTATAGCTTCCTAAAATTAGTCCCGAATTCGGCCAAGTTCTTGTTAGCACTGTAACTTAGCTTTGAGACAAAGTTGTTGGCTGGCATATCAATGCTTTTCTTTCGTTCCTTTTTATAAGCCCTTCTAGCTCGTCTAGCTTGGAACACTTATTTATTTCTTTTAGTAATTAAATTATTTTATTCATTATTACTTACATACACTCATCAAAAAAGTTTGCGATCACTTTGAAAAATACATTGATTTTGTGTTACAGAAGACTTTTTTGTAATTTCTTTTTCTGATAAGATTCTAAATTTATAATTAAAATTGGTACGTAAAAAAAAAATTCAATTGTTTTTTTCATATAAAAAGACATACAATCCAAGCTGACACTCATTTAGAAATGTGACTAGGCAATATTATCGAATTTAAAATATTTTTTTCACGGAAAGTTGTGATTTAAAAAAATCCACGAGGATTATCAGATATTTTACGAGCCAGAATTGTAACTTTGAGGGAAGAAGGCTATTCTACCATAGATATAGCACGCAGAGTTGCCACCCAATCCTGTGTAGTAACCACGTTGCAGAGGTACCACGGCATGGGTAATTTAGCTCGTCGACCCAGCAGCGGTCGCCCAACTGTTTTGACAGCTGCTCAGAAGCACTTCATCAGGTTGCTGGTAGCCCATGACCCAACAATAAACGCCACTAAATTAAAAGCAGCTTTTGCGAGTGATCTCAATTTTTTTTGATGTGTATACAACTGAATGACTTGAGTATAATATGAAAGCTTTCTCTTTCGGCATAAACAAATAAATGTTACCGGCGTAATATCTGATTACGGTCAAGAACTATTAAAGATAAAGTCATAAAATGAATTATTATCTACATCATGTAGATACGGCTTCAGTGTCGACTCGGCGTGTGATTCGGGCTGTTCGCTTCATCAAAAGTATAAAACTACTTTAATTAATAAAAAAAAAAACTTTTTGCGCTTTTGTAAGCGCATAAAATTTCTTCTCGGAGTTCAAATTTTAAACTAGTGTTTAAAATTACGAATGTTGTTAATTATAGTGAAAGTGATGTGTGTGTCTTATTCACATAATAATATGAACTGTGGTTGTGGTTAATAGAATAAATAAAATGTGTATCCCATCGTGCAACGCAAACCTTAGAAAAAGTGTTACCTTTACGTAATGAAACGCGCGTTTTTCGTAAAGTTAATAATGATTGAATATAGCAAAGTTTCTATATAGGTAGATAAATATTTTAATAAAACAGTTTTATCCAATATTTCAGGTCATTAGAAATTATAAATACAAGCAATAAAAATAAAAAGAAAAACTAAATTCAATATCGCTTATTCAGTCTAGGCTGTTACAAGCACTTGTGAATGTCGAAAAGCTACGCCATCGGTTCGCAAATCTATGGCGGGAGACCTTGTACTGAGAACTGGCAAGAAACTAGCAAGGGCTGTTTTCGTCTCCCTGTATTATATGCAGAATTGTCAAATTGAAAAATGACTGCAATATGAGATAACTCATGAAGTCACTTTCTATTACAAATGTAAATGATATAAAAATTATGACTATAAATAAAATAACAAATATAAAAAACTGAAGTTTAGGAATGCCGTCTCCTACTGTTTAGGCATAAAATATATTTAAAGAAAAGATGTATTATATAATAAGTATACTTAAGTGTCGCCGCTCACGGGCCACACGCAACAGCCACAAACGCCGCCCCGAGAAGCTAGAAGCGGCTACTAAAGTGACTGAAGCGCGCGACAGTTTTAGTATTTCGATTTTAAGTTCCGTATTAAATATCTACCAACGTACTAAGTCGTTGTCCATCTTGATCGTTGGCCTGATTTTATTATTTAGCCGGAGGCTGCTGACCGCCAGATTGGATAGAGTACGCTCAGATTACAGAACATAAGGCATATGGAGCGCACGAACACGCAATGCGTGGCACCATAGTAAATACGAAATCAAAGCGACTATCAATTCGCGTCAGTATACAACGTGAATTGTGATTGTGAATATTAAGTTTTTATCAAAACTGAGCCGCCTTGTTCATATATCGTAAAAACTGTTTACAAAGACAAAAAAAGCATTTACTTTTGTCTTCGTATTTGCTTTGGTGGCACGCATTGCGTATACCGTGCGCTCTATCTGCCATTTGTTTCGTAATCTAAAGTGGAGTAGAGTGTAAATAGGAGTGATACGTACTCAAGAGAGTACGTATCACTCCCATAACCCATCTTTGCTTCGCGGAGCCCTAGAACTTACTTGCCAACACAAGTACAACACCACCAAAAAGTAGTGTTGTATAGAGTACGATTCGAAATTTAAGAACTTACTTGCCAACAGAAGTACAACACAACCAAAAAGTAATGTTGTATAAAGTACGATTCGAAATTTAAAAACGGTTGTGAAGTCAGCATCGAGCGAAACTATGCGCAGGTTTCAGTTCAGTGACATCCCGCGCGCGCTCACATAATCCTTCACACAGTGCGAGCAAATCCATGTGGCGCGTGGGTGAAATCGGATCTAATTTTAGGATACGCGTTTTTATTTATGAGTGATATTAAGACGTCAATAAGGCTTTCATAATTCCTATTACTTTTTCCAAGTTATTGCAAATTATAACGTTCCCTACAAGTAAGAAGATTTAATAATAATAAATAGTTTGAACCAATGACGTATAATATATAGAACGGTAAGTAGTTCCCGCCCCAATTTCCCTTGGCAACAGCCGCCAATTGAACTAAAGTAGTCTCTTCCACTCTCATTCATAAAGCAGATTAAATCTGGCTCTTTAGCCCCCACGTGTCAGCTACTAAGAAAATAGGTAATCACTACATATTTTTACATTAATTTCTTAAAAACTGTATTTACGAATGAAATGACAAGTTTTTCTTGGTAGTTCCAGTGTATTTTTTGTATTATTTAAAAAACAGATAGGGTTTATTTCTGGAAAAACGTAAAGTATACAAGTTGTAGCGAAGTGTAGCCGCGGCGAGACAGCGTGCTCAACTGAATGCAAGTCGGGCAATAACCTGACTTTCGTATTATATTACTTTATTTATTACTTACTTACATACTTTACTTTATTTTTTTTATTTTCGTATTACTTTATATTGCCAAATTGTAAGCGTGCATGACGTATCTATAACTTTAAAACATGATAAGTTTCAACACTCACACCAATTAGCCTAGCCCCAAAGTAAGCACTGTAGGCTTGTGTCATGGGATACTAGGGTAACGGATAGAATACATATACATACTAGGTACTATATATAAGAAAAGTATGACTGGAGTACAATGCTCGTATTCATCACACAAACATCTGCCCCCACCGCGATTCGAACCCGGGACCTCTCGAGTAGACGACACCTTGAAACTTGGCGTACAAACTGCTCGGCCACGGAGGTCGTCGTCATTTACGTACTTAAGAATCCCCAGTTCACCAGGAGTGCCAAGCTCTGGTCGCACCCAGACCCCTCTTTCCCAGTGGGCACTTTGGGCAAGTGCCCAGGGCCCCGCGATCGATAGGGGCCCAAATACAAAGTCCCTAGTTCCTGTTAGATCACCAAACGGGGTTCATAGGGGCCCTATTATCCCAATATGCCCAGGGCCTCCAATAGGTCAAAGACGGCACTGGCCGCACCATATATTTCGTTTACTGCGCCACGACTAAGTGCTACCTTAATACACAACCGAAACAAAATTCCTACTTCTGTGGTGGAGGCAACTCTCCTACAGACGGGCGCTCCAATTGGAACGGAAAACCCGTTATGCCCTTCATCTCTTGTAATCTCCAATCTCTATTGGTCTGTGGTTTTTTCTCATAAAAGAAACGGTAACGTAAACGTTATTATTTTATTTTTTTTACAATAGTGAGAAATGTGCATTGACCTCAGCTTATTGTTCTTACCGATGCTATCTAAGAGTACCTGATATGCGAGTATATGTAAGTAGGTCATGTTACGTCTGCCTCATAACCATATCAGTATAACTAATACCAATAATAAGGTTAAAAAAGAGAATAGATAAGAAGAAAATACTAATAACAATGATATGAGTTTATGAAGATTTTCAGAATTACCATTACTGTTGCGTTACATAAAAGTAGTTATCATATAGGTAAATAAAATAAGTTTTTAACACGTCGTAATGATGACGCATTCCCGCAAAGGATGCGAAACGTCAATAAATAAAAAATCGACGGGTTGCACTCCGGGAGTGCCGGCAGAAGTGAAAACTTGAATATTAACGTTGTGCATTTTTGGGAATAATTTTGCACGAATTTCTTTAATTATCAATATAAAAGTACAATCATTTATGTGGTAGAATACAATATTTTTTTTTTGCGCTATCGTACACAAACATGACAATTTATATTGCATTAAAAACTTTATCTCTCAGAATTACTCATTTAAGCGCACCTACCGACATCTATTGTAAGTAAAATGCATTTTCTTCGCAATAAAGCTGCCACCTGGACGTCCTAGCAGACTTATTATTATAATACGATAAAATAAAATATTACTATGATTCGTCCAATATATTGAAAGTCAACAACCTTTCCAATTTGATTGTTTTCGTCTTACGAATTTTCGATTTATAATACGATAAAATAAAATATTACCTACTATGTTTCGTCCAATATATTGAAAGTCAACAACCAATTTTATTGTGTGTCATGATGCGATCAGACCACGTGTTTAACCTGACGCGAGTTTAACATTTTTTACCCATACAAAAAAAAAGTGTACAACGCCGCTAAAGAAGTTTTCACTTCAATAAATTCAGTACATCTGACCCGTTAAAAACTTGTTTTATTTAATGAGTGGTGTGCGTGAAAACCTAAGAAACAAATATCATATAGGTATCTTTTAAAACGTAAAGGGGAAAGTTTATATGTATATGTAGGCCACATCGTTTTAAGAAGCTACATTTTTGGCATTAAGCAGTGGAAGAGATTTTGGAAAATTAAAGTTAATAAATGAGTAAAGAATGAAGAAACTAATTTTATTAAATAATAACACATAAATATTTACTAACAACACTGCACTATTTAAACATTTTACACACACACATAATATAGACAGTTAGGTACTATGATTATCCTCATATTTCGTCAGAGATAAGTCTTCAAGAATTTGATATTTTATTTGCCCTCAAAAAAAGAAAATTATTAGGTAAATGCATTTTATCACCAATAAATAATCCTAATCAAGTTATATTTAATAATCTACTTGATGATGGCTCCATAATCTAAGGGTCAATTATCTAATCTAAACTGATTAAAACACAGAATTACATCGTAAATGTTAATAAGAGTCGTGAGAAAATGAATACAAATAAAGTTAACCTTCATATTATCAAGCACACATTGTATGCTTTACAGAGGTGACATGGGTACAGATTCTTAATTAATTAAATAATTATTATGACCCAAAAATTTAAAATGAGGTAAGTACCTCATTGTAACTTGTTTATTGTGTTTACTCTTTTATTTTTGTTTTATTTAAGAAGTGAGGAGCTGGCGCACAAAACGGTATCTTAAAAACATCTCGTGTCACAATGTTAGTTACCACCATACTCCTCCGAAACGGCCTGATCGATTTTTATGAAATTTTATATGCATATTCCGTGGGTCTGAGAATCGGCTACTATCTATTTTTCGCATCCTTAAGTGATAATGGTTGTCCACCTGTAACGTAGTGTTCTGAAACCTACAATACGCCTTCGCGCCAAAATTCAAACTATTGGGTATTGTAACGTAGTGTTCTCATTTGGGTTAGAAGAAATGTTATCCCAGGAAATTGATAGAACACTACCATTACACACCCCTAAATTTTTTTAGGAAAATATTAATATTTTTGTAATGAGGTATTAAAAAATACATACAACCCTAAATTTTCTCTTCTACCACTTGCCCCTA